GGTTTCTCTATGTAGTTTTGGAGCCTGTGCTGGATCTCCCTCTGTAGACCAGGCTGGCCTTGAACTCACAGAGATCTGCCGGGCTATGCCACCTGAGTGCTGAGATTAAAGGCGTGTGTCACCAACGCGCGTGCCCAGCGAAGTAAATACTTTTATAGAAGTATATGTTTTGATTTTAGGGTGTTTTCTCCTTTTCTTTTGAGGTTGTATCCTATTTTCAAGTTTGGTTTGAGGCAAATTAAACATACTCATTCCAGAAGTCACTGAAGGAAAATAAAAACCCATACTATTTCGTTAATTTATCTGTATTATGTTTCTTTTCCAGCGTTCTGTGTTTCTTCCTATTTCATTGATACTTTTCAATATATTTCATTCCTTTATAAACCCAAGTAATATCTTCTCCAGGTTTTTCCTTTTCTTTTTTTCAATAAACTGCCCACAATCTTGCCTGGTGTCTGGAGTGAGTTGAATTCCCACTATGTCTCCGTATTCTTCCTCTTGCATTGTCTTCAGTGTTAGGACCTTGAGTGTGGACACTGACTAGGCAGAGAGGTATACATTAGATGAACATTTTCTTCATGACTAATGTGTGGAGCATTTTCTGTTAACATTTAGGTCATGTCAAAACTTTTTTACATTGTCACTTTTTTGTTGATTATAATATCATTTGCTTCACATTTTTCTTAGCTTCCTGGTAAAATCTGGGCACTATGATTGGGCAATATTTCATATTGTACTATGAAATGTTTATTAATAAATTTCTCCATTCTGTAGGCTATTTCTTTATACTTTCAGTTATTACCATTTCTTTCTCTCTCTTTTTTTTAAGGTTTTTTAAGACAGGGTTTTTCTGTGTAACATCCCTGGTTGTCCTGAAACTCGCTTTGTAGACCAGGCTGGCCTTGAACTCACAAAGATCTGCCTGCCTCTGCCTTCCAAGTGCTGGAATTAAAGGCATGCTCCAGCAGTTATTACCATTTCTATGCAATTTTTCAATTGTACACAGTCAAATTTCACCACTTCATTGCTTTTCACCTATTTTCATTCCTTTTTATATGGATATTTACTGTTTTGTACAATACTGGTTGATATGGCTTTCTATTGTGTAACATAAGTTTTTATCCATCATTTTGGTGAAATTCTCTTGGTCACAGCAGGTTGGATTGACTCTGGATCTGCTGCTCTTACTGCTTTTGGTGTCTGCTCTTCTGCCACCACCATGGTGCTGTTGTTCCTGTGGTCTGCAGTGCCATCTGAAATAGCACCTGGGATGATTCAATCTTTGCTCTGTGTGTCTGGGCTTGCTCTGCACTCCTAGAGCCTTTGTAATTTTATAATTTGTAAATAATGTAAATTTGTAGAAGTCTCTTTACTGCAGTTGTGAAGTAAATCATGGGTAGCTTGACTGTGATCAACCTTGAGTTAATCATATAAATCTTCTAATACTGTAATTTCACAATAATGCATTCTATGCCATGTGCATGCCTGTTTTGCCCATCTTCCAATGTCATCCTCAATTCCTTCTGTGAGTTCAAGTCTATGGTGATATTTTATTTGTGCTGAAATGGGATTTTATTTGTATGTTAATAAATAGTTTGCCTGGAGATCAGAGGTCATAGTGAGCCAAGAACAGCAGTCAAATAGTGGTAGCCCCTACCCTTAATCCGATCACATGGTAGGCAGAGTCTTTGTGGTCAAGGACACAGCCAAGCATGGTGAGATGAGCCTTTAATCCCAGTACCAACCATAGAGACCTGGAGGTCTGTATAGACAGGCAGTGACAAGGAAGTCATGTGGTTGGGATTAGAGTCAATGAGAAGGCAGAACAGAAAGGCAAGAAAAAAGCAAGTCAGGCAAGAAGAAACTCTCTCTGGGGAAGAAATGGAGGAAAGGTAAGATAAGGTAGTCGTGGCTCTCTGATCTCTTTGGCTATTTGCCTCCGTATTTGGCTCTGTGTTTCTTATTTACTAAGACTGTTTAGAATTTCATCTACATAAGTCTGTATTTTATATGTCTCTTTTGTGCTTCTTTATTTTTTCCTTTTTTAAAACTTTTATTGTTTGCTGTTCAGTTTTAATTAAATAAATAGAAGCCAAAACAGAGAGTATAAATCTTCTCTAATGGGCTTGTTTAATACATGATAAAAACAAAAGTTCTACTTCGAAATAGACATTGATATCTCCGCTTAAGTTGTATGTACATAAACTTTGTAATCAATAGGTATTTATATTTAATGATTTCATGGGTTTATTCCCACTTGTCACCTTCTGTCCCATCGTTGGGTAGATATGTTTTCTTCCCAGTTGTCCTCATCATATTTCATGTATAATTTGAGCAGGATTAGGCCAGGTAGCTAGGTCTAATGTGTCCATAATTGCAACTGGCATGTCATATGGTAAGAGAGTTTTTCTTATCTCACCTCCCCACCCTCTAGGTCTTAAAATCTTTTACCTCTTCTCCTTTAATGTTCTCTGCAATTTAGATGTGAGAAGATGGAATTCCCATTATAACCTGTGCAGTAAGCAGTCAATTGTTCTCACTATTTGATGGGTTATGAGTCTCTGTAATAACTGTTCTCCATTGAAAACAACATTTCTCAGATCTAAGCAGAAAGCAACACCAAGGTATGGTGTGATAAGAATCAGTAAGTGACAGTTTGAATATTTGTACAGAATGTCAGTAGTGGAAGCCCTCCTAGGTACTCTGACCTTCAGAGTCACTGACTTTGGCCAGGTTGCTCGTGCCATGCATGTGTTTCCTTCTGTGGAGTTGGCCTCAGATCAAACCAAAAGGCCTAGTGTTATCCACAAAATAGTCTTGCCGCCATGACACCAATGGTCGTTCCTTGCCTGGCAGGTTGGGATTATAGCAGAGAGGTTCCAAATCTGGATATGGCCATTGATAACTCTGCCCCCTGCCATAGCTGCATAGCAGTTTCTGACACTGTGAATGCTACTACCGGGGACTCTAAGATATTTGTAGACACTCTGAGTGGTCTGATGTCTTCTCAGCATCTTCTTGGTATGTTAAAAAAAAAGTGATGTATGTGGATTATTCTGCTTATGAAGAGATCTATTGTGTCTTAGCTTTCTTTTAAATATTTCTACTGTTAA